TTGAAAATTTCTAATTGTTATTACTAACTCACAAGATGATATTTACCAAAAAAACTTTTACCAAACAATTTATTTACCAAGAGAAGAATCACTTTTCCGATTTTCTCACTCGTTAGATCTATCTATACCGCTCGACGCTTCAAACCAGACTGAGTTCAGCTTTGAAAATCTTTTCCTCCAGATTTTATGATTATAAATCTCACTATACAGTGCGTGCTACGATCGCATACCGATCTTTCTTCTACAAACTTGCCTTATCGCTTTTTTCAAGTGGCGCCTTTGAAGTGCTCGGACCGTCGTGAGCACGCCTCTCGCGTTCTCGTCAAAACCCGCTGACATTTCTCGTATATATCTTAGTAATTTTACTATATTTTGATTTGATTTCTTGTGCCATTTCAAGAGAAAACTTCAGGGAAACATGCGTGTCTCAAAAAGTTGCGCTGAAATAACTGAATTCCCCGTAATCGCTAATAAACTTTAATGTCCCGCGAGAGGGGACATCCGAGTGATATGCTAGAATTACGATGTCCCACGAGAGGGGACAGCGGAGTGCAAAGGGTTAAATCTGGTAATCTGCTAAAAAAAGAACTGATCGAAGAGAGAACGCGATGCGCAAGGACCGAGAATCAAAGCCGCGCATTGTCGCCGGCGCAGCATTTCAGGCACGTAAAATGATTTCGAACGTGTAGCTCGCAGCAGGGATCGGTCGCGGGAAAAATTTCGTCGACGTTATCGGGACATAATTATCAGTGATTCGCATACCAATTAGCCGGCGTGTTTGTACGTTAATTATCCGCGTGATCGTTGGACGTCGACGTCGACGTCGCAATTATTCGGCCGGCCGGGCTCGAATTTTCGAGCGCGGAAAAAAGCGGGGGTCGGACGATGGGGATTGGGGACGGTAGGAAGAGGGGGGAGGGGGATAAAAACGCGAGCAAATAATAACCGGGAGCGTATCCGCGGGCACCAGTTCCAGTCCGGTCCCGGGAACGAGGAAATTCAATCATCGGACGTCGCATAAATAAAAAATGGAGGCTGCCTCCACGCCCCGTTATTAACATTTATGTTATTTGCGCCGCGCTCGCTCCGATCTCGATCGCGCATTAATATTTATCCGGCAATTAACTCGCCGGACGTCTTGCGGTCCCGCATAAAACGCCGCGGAACTTTTGCTGCATCGATCGCCGAAGACGAACGGAGGACAGGAGATACACCGGGACCGATCGGTTTTTTTCCTCGAGAACGATCCGAGAGGCGCGATGGATTTCGATGCTCCGTCGATGTTCCTCGTTCGAATTCGATGGAATCGTTCGACCGGCGTGATGCGCCGGGACCGTGGATAGGCTCGGTCAATTTTATCAGGACAGTCGGACACGGTGATCGCATTTATTAGGCGACGCGCGGCCAGGCTAGGTCAAGCCGACCTTCAATTAATGACCGTTCGGCGACGCCGCAATATTCTGCTTTGTTCTGCTCTGCTCTGCTCTGCTCAGCTTTGTTCTGCTTTGCTCTACTTTTCTCTACTTTGATCTGCTTTGTTCTGCTTTGCTCTGCTCTATTTTTCTCTGTTTTGTTCTGCTTTACTTTTCTCTGTTTTGCTCTGCTTTGCTCAGCTCAGCTTTGTTCAGCTCTGCTATGTTCTGCTCTGCTTTGTACTGCTCTGCTTTGTTCTGCTTTGCTCAGCTCAGCTTTGTTCTGCTCTGCTTTGTTCTGCTCTGCTTTGTACTGCTCTGCTTTGTTCTGCTTTGCTCAGCTCAGCTTTGTTCTGCTCTGCTTTGTTCTGCTCTGCTTTGTACTGCTCTGCTTTGTTCTGCTTTGCTCAGCTCAGCTTTGTTCTGCTCTGCTTTGTTCTGCTCTGCTTTGTACTGCTCTGCTTTGTTCTGCTTTGCTCTGCTCTATTTTGCTCCGTTTTGCTCTGCTTTACTTTGCTTTGTTTTGCTCTGCTTGCTTTGCTTTGCTCTGCTTTGCTCTGCTCTGCTTTGTTCTGCTCTACTTTGTTCTGCTCTGTTCTGCTCTTCTCTGCTCTGCTTTGCTCTGCTTTGTTCTGCTCTATTTTGCTCTGTTTTGTTCTGCTCTATTTTGCTCTGTTTTGCTCTGCTTTACTCTGCTCTGTTATGCTCTGCTCTGCTCTATTTTCTCTGCATTGTTCAGCTTTACTCTACTGTGCTCTACTTTGTTCTGCTTTGTTCTGCTTTTCTCTACTTTGCTCTGCTCTGCTCTATTTTCTCTGCTTTGCTCTGCTCTGCTTTGTTCAGCTTTACTCTACTTTGCTCTACTTTGTTCTGCTTTGCTCTACTTTGCTCGGCTTTTCTCTGCTCTGTTCTGCTCTGCTCCGCTCTGATCAGCGTCGCGTCGCGTCGCATCGCGTCGAATTCATCGTGTTAACGAAGCCCCGCAGTAAACCGACCGTGAGAATCCACCCGTGACCCCCTCCAGCATCGCCCCGATAACGTCGATCCAGCTCTCGCGGTTTATGAATAATGGATAACATTAATCGGACACAACATCAACTCGTCTGCACCCGGACCCGTGTTCTCTGTCCCGCTCCCGATTTAAGGGTCGCGACCGTCGATTACTGTTACCACATCCTCCCAGCGTGCATTGAATGCGGGATAGAGATCTCATTCAGTTTCGAAGTATGTAATTGTATCGTATCTTCGAAACGCGTCGCGTTAGATGGTCTCCTTGTCTCAAGCTTGGTTCGCTCGCACTTAACCCTTGGATGACGGACTTTGTGGAGGTCGAAGCTGGGTCATTTTGGGGCCCATGCTAAAATCAAGCATAAACAGATTCTAAAGTGTAATTTCTTTTCTTGAGTGACTTACTTTTGTTCTGCGAGAGTTAATTTGTTTACAGTGGAGAATAGGAGGATCGTTGCAGATGTACTTTTTTCGTTTAATAAAAAATGGCAAAATAAGAAATACATATATAAAATAGTATATATATATACTAGTATATAATAGTATATATATATATATAATATATATATATATATATAATAGTATATATATACTATATAATAGTATACTAGTATATATTAGTATATGTTATAATATATACTAATACTATATATATTATATTAGTATGTATTATATATTCTATATAATAGTATACATAATAGTATATAATATATATTATATATTATATATATTACTATTATTATACTATATACTTATTGGGTCCAGACGGGCCCATTACCCTATGTATACAAACATTTTTCAAACAAAAATTTTGTTGTCATCTCGCCTCTCATTGGACAGTATTTTTCGTTAATAATTTAAACAACGCCGTGGATTGCATTTTTGCTCAGATGGACACTCGCCTTTACTTCGATAAATAAATAAATAAACAAATAAATATTTTAAGACGCGATAACTATTTCAAGAGTGGAAAAAATGACTTAAATTTTCTACAGATGATAAGGCATTTTTTAAATTTTCATTATAGGCTCCGATAAAAAAGTTAAAAATCGCGGGTTCTTAATTTTCTCTTTTCTCATTCCAAGTAACAGTAAAATTTAAAAAAAAAGCATTTCAGTCATCGTCTAGCAGACCAATCCCCCTATTATCTAAAAAGAAAAAATCCAAGTCATTCAGTTGATGAAAAAGTTATTGCGTTTTAGAAGGCGTACGAACACTTTTGTGACCTATTTTATATTTCTGCACAAATTGTTACGGATCGATCGGTCGTTACGGAGACCCTAATCGACACGTTTCGCGCTAAGTCGCGATGGGTCCGCACTGCTAACGAAGTTCAACGGATTTGTTTCAGATCCTAGTAGAGTACGACGACGTAGAGTGGCAAAGAAGAGAATGGCTATCGCCGCACAGGGACGCGGTGTTCTCGTTCTTCCTGGTGGAAAAGGGTCTGAACTGGGCCGAGCGGCCTGACCCCAGGCATGCCAGCCTCATCGCCATCGATCATCACAACCACGCGAATAATAACCACCACCACCATCACCGCATCAACGGGAAGCCCTTGAGGGGCGCCACCGCTGTCGCGAACACGGTCGCCTGGCCGGCCCTTGTAAGCACGCCCTTTCCTTTTCTCTCTTTATCGCGCTCCACGTCAAAAACCTTCTGGGCTCATAAAAATTCCATGGACTAGCTGCCGCGGCTAAATATAGCCCGGTCTTTCTTTAAAGGAAGATCCATTAGACAACCTTACCGACGCAGCTTTTCGGGTTTTAAAGATTCAAGCCGAAGGGACGGTTTTGGATTCGAAATCGATGAACCGATTCGGTTGATTCTGCCGCGAGCCGTGAATGCTGGGCTATTAATTCGTGGCTAGGATGGTGGAGCCCCGGTTACCGTGTTCTTTATTCGGTTTAGTTTTCGAAACTCTTGTTACAGGATTTTTATTACGGTTTGCAGCGGTTAGAATTTCTTTGTAGTTTATAATTGGCTGGAAGAATAAAAAGAGTGATAACTATGCATTTGTTTACACTATAATGGCTGTACGTTAACAATTATGACAAAATGGAATATTAGATGTAATCGATAATAGATGATGATAGAATTAATAACAGATATTAATAATATTAATAATAGAATCAATAATAGGTGTTAATAATATTAATAATAGAATCAATAATAGATATTAATAATATTAATAATAGAATCAATAATAGATATTAATA